AAAAGGGGGAGAGATGTCTCTAATGTTTCTGCAATGAAACTTGTTAAATTGATTGGATATAATTAAAAAGTGTTAAGAAACTTTGAGTATAAAAACTTAGCCTATCTGTTCAAGACAGATTTGGTTATAAAATGGAAGACTAGTTCCATTATCGTATACCAGTGGTCCGTGGGTGGAGCCAAAACATTCTGTATGGTGAGTGGTATTCTAGCAGTGGCTTACGAGCGGGCTTCAGTTCAGTGCATTGAATGAGGACATGCAACCTTGTGGTAACGTGGCCGCAGCGAAATTTAATAGCGTTGAACTGATGGTCTCGTAGTATGTTGTTGGTCCGGAGTCTGGTTGCAACTTTGCAGATGGCTACAGATGGATTGTTTGTTTTGGTTTGGTATCTTCGGATCAATCTGGTATCTTGCGGTGTCGAGGTTCCGTAACATGTCGGCCCATTTCTGGTTGATCCTAGAAGAATCGATACTACAGAACTCCGAATAGGAGTATTCTACAGGCTCGACATCCTCCAGACTCAGACTTTCCTTGGCACAACGGTCTGCTTGATCATTGCCAGGAATGGAGAGATACAAAATAACAAGGCATTCAGAATATATAGTGTGAGGCAACAATGTGAAAATTGTGAAAATTTAGGGTGGGGTTATTTAATTAAAGGGTCATGGGCATGTGATAAATAAACACCTGTGTTGTTAATTGTTAAGGCAAAGACTCACTTTTTTTTAGAAGAAGGCCATTTTAGTTTGAAGGATATGATTGAACCCTGGCAATTGATGAAGCGGTTGCAGTAAAAATTGCTTTTTTAGGAATTTATGTTTAGAATCTGAATCTATTGTTATTTTTTATTATCGCTTGTATGGTAGAAATAAATTTCAAAATTTCTTAAACATGGTGGCAATCAAAAATTGTCAAAGCTTATGATATGCAAAAGAACAATGCAACAGTCGCACAACATTTGTACACCTGTTACTTTGATTGGGAATCATATTGATTAATATCAGGATATAACTACACTTATTTGAAGTGTCAATGGATTTTGTCGTGATGCAGTATAAAAAAGGGGCTAAAGGACCCAAGTTTGATATTATTATCCATTATCATATAAAATACCATCTGTTATAAATTAATAAGTGGTGTAATAGTACAAGCCTTTAAAATACCAAATACTTCGTTTGTAATTGCACCGATAGATATTTGAACAGGGAAGTGTATTTCGCGTTTGATCGGAAATTGTGTTCTATTTAA